GCACGACACAAGGGGAGGCATCTAGGTTTTGAACGCATTGCGCAACCTGATCATCGAGCGGACTTTGGATAGTCGAGCCAAGCAAATGCGATGAAGCGACATGCTTGCCGATCGCATTTGCTTTCTCCTGTGGGGTGATTAAAAGCCGATCGTCATCATTTTCGACTTTGAGAGGTGGAACGGGTTTGGAATGATTTTTCAGGACCTTGGCTACCTTCCAGAATGGTCTGGAGCGGTCGTCCAGATTCTGGACAACACGCCCGAAACTTTCATTTCGGAGTGAGTCCATTCTAGAAGCAATCTGCCTGTTCAGATCGGCCATTTCACGTTTTTTGCCCAGATCTCCAGTCCTCTGAAACTGGCGTCTACGAACATTTCTCAGGCGAATCAAAAGTTGGGTGTGGAAATCAATGGCAATAAACTTACCCCTCACAGGAACTCGTCGGACGCACGCCTCGTCAGCCACGGTTATGGCTTGGTGGAGTCCCTCCAACGCTCGGTCGATGTCCTCCACGGTGTCGAGCAGTGGATTTTCATCGATGTTGCTGTCCACCATTCGTCTGTACTGCACCCAGTTGACATGGTGGTAGTCTTTACGCAGGCAGCTTCTAGCAGGAACCACGTTGACACCGACTTCAGTCACCACCGGTTGGTGGTCGGAGCTGAGATCGTTGTGCGCCTCCGGCTTGGATAGTACGATGTTTGACAGGAAAAAGTCCAGGGTGGACGGATTTCCCGCCGGAGAGATAAAAGTTGGTTCGTCTGGAAACTGCACAGTGTACAGTCCATGTTGTGCGTGGTCGAACAATAGACATCCATTCCGGTTCCGCTGGTAGTTCCGCCAAGCTTCAGGTCGGGCATTCAGGTCGCTCCCAGCGATTAATCGGGTGCTTGTACGGGTGATGGCGGTCAGGTCGTTCTTGAATTGGATGCCTAGGCCGTTGCTTGTGGTACACTGGCGTGGGCAGTAAACAGCGATAAACCGGACGTTTCCAGTTGGTGATTCCACCTCCACACTAATGGCCTCGATGATAGAAGTGCGGACGTGGGGCAGAGTGCAGAACTTGATTCCCTTTCTGACGATGACCGCTACACCACCCCCCCCCCCCCCCCCTGGAGCTGGTGCGATCAAGCCGGATAATGTTGTGGTCAGGCAACCAGAAGCTGTCGCCGGACTTTAGATGGGTCTCGGTTAGAAGGCCCACGTCGATGCTGTGCTTGCGGAGGAAGTCGGCAAGCTCAATCTGTTTTGCTTTTACAGAGCAAGCGTTACAGGTAGCGATGGTTAGCGGTTTAGACACCATACTGGATGATGAACTTACCGAGCACTTGGATCTGTTCGGGTTTATTGCGGCACTTACGAAGAGCACCGGACATGTTGACGAAAATTTCCATCAGTTCATCCGCTGAGAACAGATCGGGGTTGTTGTTTTGCGCTGGTGGTTGTCTCCAGAATCCAGGGGGGGATGGAGAGCTTTGGCCAGCAGAATCACCAGAAGTTGCTTGAGCGGAATGCACCCGCGAATTCTCTTGCCTTTGCTGAGGAGCACGAAGAGGCGGGAAATCCTCCGTCCGAAATGCCGGGACTTTGTCCTTCTTGCGTCCTGGTTGGTTGTTAGTTGCCGCCTGTTTTCGGATGCGTTTGAAGTCCTCGCGTTTGGAGCACTGTCTGTCGGAACCTTGGTGAGCACCACCACAGTTGGCGCATTTTAACGCCACGGCTCCATCCACAGGGCAGTCGGAAGTGGCGTGGTCTTGAGCGCAATTGGCTTAATGTTGCAGTTGCGGGTGCCGTGTCCAAAGTTCAGACACCGTTGGCACTGAGTCACATCACGATGGCCGCCACGGTATGGCTCCCAGCGGACGATGATGGAATTGATGGAGCGGATGGCCTTCAGCGCGTTGAGCGTCACCGTTCCCTTCTGGAAGTGTACCAGGAAAAGGCTATCCGGATACGCCTTCACATTTTCGTCCTTCCTTGTCATCCGATAGACGGCACTTGGGGCCAGCTTGTACCGGTCTCTGATTTTAGCTTCGATAAACTTCGGGTCGAAGTTTGGTAGGCCCCTTATGACGACCTTGAATGGCTTCTCACCGGGAATGTCGTGGGTGAAGAATTCCACCTTGGAAATCCTCAGGTGGGCGACGACCAAGTCATACTCCGCTTTCGTACGGAGCACCACCTTGGTGCCGACTCTGCCCAACTTGTATTCGGCTTTAACGCCCAGCATCGCTAGATCTGCGATGAGCTCATTAAGATGGGCATTTTTCACTACCAATGGAGGTAGCTTCACTTTTGCCGAACTCGGGCCGGCAGAATTTTCGTTGCCGATGGCGTCGCCGAAATCACCGATGTCGCTGGCGTTCGTCGCAGTGACATCGGACTGGCCTCGATTCTTCTTTCTCTTCTTGCTGCGTTTTTCCAACACAGCTGGCTGGATATTCCCAACCATGGGGAGAACAGCAAACCTGTTCGAGGTAGGCACACCGGAGCTTCCTTCACCGGGGTTCTGGACCTTCGCCGGGCTTCGCGACCGATGCTTCCCCATTTCGGGGCACACACACACGCACGACAAACCGCGAAAGAGAGCGCGAACACTATCGCCACGAACTTTTCAAACAACTCGAGAGAGCGAGCTAACACCGAACTGAACTGCTTGACGATCAAGCAGAGAATGGTCTGTCATGAGTTGATGCACATTAGCAGCGCTGTTTTATAACTTTTCAGATTCAAGCAACACGATGTGCAACCAAATGGTACTCGATTATCACGACTGGGTTTGGGGAGAACGTTTATTTCATGAAACAGTGATAAAATTATTACTTTTTATTTGTACATTTTTAAAACAGTTTTTATGAAAAATTGAAAAAGTGTTCATGTAACAGCTTACGAGAGTAAATTCCTATCGATTGGTGTATTTGGATTTTAATTTCATCTATAAATGACAATTTTAGATTTTCGATTTACCTCCAGTACCTTCCCGTAAGACGTAGTCTTCGTCAAAAAATGGTCGATGAATTTGACTGTAAAGGGCCACGCACATTAGGTCCGGATCGGACGCGTTGCGGCAAAGTGACGGCTAAATCTATTGTCTAACTGTCAAATTGACGTCAACGCAACGCAAACGGATCTAATGTGGGTGGCCCTTAACTCACTGGTATGATGATGAAACAGGTCATCGATGCTTTCTTTTTCCGTTCCACGACAGAAGAACCCCGGTCCCGTCACAACGAGCAAATATTTTTCAATCATTTATTTGAAACATTTTCTTCACTTTATTTACTTTCTGAGAAAAAAAATCATAATTATAAGTATGTAAAAAAAGGATTAGCCATCACCACAATTGTATGTTTCTCTTTCCTCTCTGTTACTCGCTTTGCTTGTGTGTTTGTAACTGTTTCACTCTTCGCTTACTGAAAGCATTGTTACACTCTTGTGTTGCAATAATAGATCTCCGCGGATTGATGCTCATTCCAGTAGGTACTACATATTGTAGTAATGTATGGAAAATCATTGTTCAAGAAAATATAGGAAAGGAGGGGGGGGGGGGGGTGTCCTGGGAAAGGATTTTTTCACTTGCTTTGGCCATTAACCTTCGGAAACGATTCAAAGCAGCAGAAATCGGATTGCAAACGGGAAGGAAACCGGAAGCTGTTGAGAAAAGCGTAACAGATTTGCTAATAAAATAGGAGGAATTGTAAAAGAACTTAACTATAATGCGTTTGTTTTTCCTCGAATAAGCGGGATGCAGTATAGGCAATTATCGCTAAACAAAAAGAAGAGAAAAAAAACGATATTCTTGAGACGGGTCGGGGGAGGGATTTACATTTAAAACATATTACACCTAGGGATTCATTTGCTTCGCTTCAGCCGTTTCAGTATAGATGTAGGCATTCCGTTTTTGCTCAGCTGCTGCTATTTTTAATCTATGTACATTTTTCATCAAGAGTTTGGGTTTTCGTTTGTTGGCTAATCGCTTTGTTTGATTTGGGAAGAGCACATTTTCCCGGCTGGCGCTGTGTCCGGCTGCCGACCGGAACGGAGGAGAGGGTAACTTTTACTACTACGGTACAACTAGGAGAAGTAGGCGCAGACTCTCGTCCCGGAAGCAACACAAAAACCGAGGAAACAGCGCCATCTGGGGTCGATCGGTCGCAGAAACCGACAGCATGCTGCTTTCTCTTTTCGGAGAGTAAGCTTCCAGATGAGGGTGTGGGTGTGTAAAAGCTGCATGTGTGTGTGACTACTCTTTCTTGGGGTTTTTTTTGAGTAACTGTTTTATATGTTTGTATTCGTGTATTGTAAATGTGTGGAATTTTAGGGTTTATGAAATTTCTTCTGGTTTGCTTTTGCTATACGTACGTGTGTGTTTGTTTTTTGTTTGTTGTTGTTGCACTTTTGTAATCTAACAATAACTAGTTTTTTATATAGTTTTTATTTATAATAATAATAATGTTAATATTCTAGGTTCGCTTGTTTTTTTTTCTTCTGTTTTATGCATAAGTTTCATGTGTTCTTTTTTAATAATTTCTCATCGTGCGGGGGAGCTTATCACTTGTTTACGTTGAAGAAGATATCAATTTGATCTTTCCTTTAAAATTTTATCCTTCACTCTTCCCATCGAATGATGATGATTATTTATATACTTCTGGATTAGAACATTATGTTAGTGGTTGTTCTAGATATTAACAGCTTACGCCCAATGTACAGATCTGATTTGCGTCCACTTGTTTAGTGTTTCATCAACATGTCGTATCAATTGATTCAGTGTGTTAATTGTTTAGAAAATAAATAGTCACTTTTCATTGCTGCTTATTCTCTTTTTCGCCCAATTTTTGTTTAGCTTTAAATTTTCTCTAAGTTCAATTTTTCCATTTTCTTTCTTAAATTGTATAATTTCTTTTTAATCAACCATTCATTCCTTTGCTCATTGTGTTTTCATTTAAGTTCTAAACTCTAATCACTCTAACAGTTAATGAGATTTACATGCTTATTTCTGTTTTTGTTTTTAATAACTTTCATGAGAGTGGGTATATGTTTGTCGAAAATGTATGAATAGTTTACGTGGTGTTCAATTCAATGTTCAAATGAGAGATGCAACGTTAGGATATGAGGAAAAACTGTGAGCAGATAATTGGACACCCGTTCCCAAGATGGTGGCCTTCCTGGCACTTGGCATTTTCTAAAGCATAATTCATCAATTAAAACTTACAAAATTGCACTAAATTCAATAGCAGACGGCACTATCGCTGTAAGCGAGCATCAATTTGCAACGAAACGTAGTATTACAAACTATCAAAACGTATTGGAAACGGAAAAAGCTACTTACGAACGAGCGACTCACAATGCGCCATCTGGTGGAAGTTTTGCTTGACATTTGACAGCCCGCCGTGCATCACGTGGAAACGAGTGCCTTCTTGATGTTGTTTCCTGATTAATGGGTCTTGAATCTATGAGAAAATGTACACTGAATGTGAGAAAAACCCACTGAATATGACCTTTTACTTGCACTTAACTACTCAGTAAGAACGAGCTCTCATTAGTTTAAATTCACTTTTAGCTGAATTAGTTCGTTAGCTTTGTCCCGGAAAAATACAGGAACTCTCAACCATTCTGCCATCCACTCGGGTCCATTCGTTCCATTCGATCACACTACTGCTAGAAAACAAGTCCTACTACGGATATTCTAGTGCTACCAAAACACTAACACGCACGCACACTTTCGCACAGTTCGGATTTGGGTAGCGAGCCCTCTCTCCTGGAGGCGAAAGCGGGAAGCGATAACAGGGTGACATTTATATTGGCGATACATACTTTTTTTGGTTTTTGTTTATACAATATTACGTTCTGATTCGTCTCACTGCCTGTGGGGCAACAATTAAATCAGGTAAATTCGACCTAGCTACGTGGGAGACACGTGTGATGATGCGATACTACAGTTCTACAAATGTTTTTACACGAGATGCTGACGGTGCTGTACTCTACGATAGACAATACGCGCGAAAGGTGTGCAGTAGATGCGGTTGTAGTAGGTAGTGTGTAGTAGATAGATTCTGTGGGTTCGATTCCGAACAAATCCCACGGATAAAATCAGTCATTGTTTTATGTTTGTTCCTAGAAACGGGAGCTTCCACTTGGATAAGTCTTTTCTCAGTTGTATTCCGCGGTAGGAGCATAGGGGAAACTTTGAATGGGGTTGCTTTCGCATAATTCGAGGTGATGATGGTGACATTGTCTTTTGTTTGTTTTGCTGTTGCTGTTAAAAGGCATTTTCGTTAATTTTGTGTTCTTTGCGTAGGATTAGAATAGTTCATGACCGTGAGTATGGGTGAGCTAGTTTGATATTAAAACGCATATATGCAACTATTTATATAAATGTCGTTCACTCGACTCATCGCAGTTTGAGCAGTAGTTTACCGATATAGTTCTCCACAAATGAGTGAAATTCGATTAGAATTCAATAGAATTGAAAAGACACTACGATTAAAATTCTGGAAAGTCAATAACGAAGGTTTCGAATTAAAGGTGAAAGCAATCGTTTACCTACTGCTCGTGTGGGGAAGATATCTGTATACGGCACAATGCACTCATTTGTTTTAGGTTCTGAATTAGCTAAATATGTCCCTTTGATTAATGGTTATCCTTTCAACGAGAATACTATTTTGTAACGGATTTGTGTGTTTAATCTTCTACCATCATGAACATCTGTGTGTATATGTGTGTGTGTGTGTGTGTGTGTGTTTATAAAAAATGGCTCCATTGCAATACGATTTTCCTTCTAGTTTATAAGTAAACTGTCAACACTCTAAAAACTTGACAACACTCTGTTAAACAACTCCGTCTCTAGAACTTCTCCCTCATTCTAAAGTGTAGTAGTTCTCAGCAACGATGCAAATATATTGTTGTAACCAACCACCTTGTCACCATCACCTCCCTTCGAGGTGGGGGAATCTTCCGCCTTTGCCGCTTTGCCATCATCACGGACTGTCTTGTAATTATCGCCCGGGTAGTAGTGGTTAACGTTGAAACCATCGTAAGGTTTAGCATCGCTCACCGTCGTCATGTATGTAGTACCAGTAGTACTAGTACCACCATATCTACAACCACCGCTTCCGGTGGTATTTGATGTGGTAGTAGAATTTCCAATAGAATTTTTCCTATAGCCACCGTCTTCTCCCGCGGTTGTAGTTGTTGTTGTCGTATCATCACCATGTTCGATTCCACTGCTGTCATTGTTGTCACCATTGCCTCCGGTGCTGCCACCTCCGGTGCTACCACCTCCGTTGCCGCCATCATTGCCATCGCCGTCGCCCTTATCACTACCATCCGGTGCATCGCTACCGACCGAGTGGTACTCCTCCGATTTTGTATCGAGTCACAGACGTAGATCGTACGCGATCTTGGAGGCAATGTTCTTGAAGCCGATGCTGGTGCCTAGGTGAACGAGAAAACGGAAGTTGTAATAAATTAGATTGCCAACAGATTTAAGTGTAAGTCCTACTAAGAATAATTCGCACAGAAACTGGGTCACTAATTGTAGAAGTGCTTCAAGAGAGTTTCGATGACCGTTCGAAAATTTACATTGAAAGCAGTGTGAAAATCTAGATCAAAAGACCCTGCCACCCTGCCACCCTAGTCAGTAATAGGTTGAGCAACCAGGTGCTCCATCAAAACCGCATTTGAAGTGAAATCACATTACCCGAAAGGTGATCCACGGGAGACTTGAACGTGACGTTACAAGACTAACCTGCCGTTTAATCAAATTGTAACCGAATTTCGTGATACAACCATTTAGAGGATCACAATTGTAAGTTTCAAAACAGCAGATGGTTTACCCGAAATCCAGAACTATTCCGGAAATATTCCGATAGTCACTAGGGGTCACGCTAGTACCGAATGTGGTAAGAGCTTACGTTAAAACAAACGAAAAAAATAAGACTAGTGAGTCTTATTTGGTTGAGCTGACCACTACGAAATACCGAAAAAATTTCCACAAGGGCCTCTTCTTTAGAGTTCTTTGTACAAGTCAAGACTATTTTTCACACAGATGGCGCTGCTCCATTGGTAGAAAGTAATAAAAATCCCCATGTAGAAATTTATTAAAGGAGTAATAACACCCCTAATAAACAAATACCATAAACGAACTGTGTCCCGGATGGGTAAACTATCCCCCAAATGGTTTGGATGATACCCCAAACACGTCGTTAAGCTCTCTTTTATGGTTATTTTTATTAGGGACGCTTTTGACGTATATTCAGGTCAAAAAAAGTTGACGACAACCTAAAAAAAATCATTCATGGACTTTGTAGTCCGCATCGTGCTCTCTTGCCGTGCGGATCTATTGGCTTTTTGCTGAAGGAAGTGTTACTACTACCTAAAGGTACAACAAATTTAAACAGCACTTTTCAGTGCTCAATATATCTGTAAATTTTCTACCTTGTTTGACGCTTATTCCTCTTCGATCCTTGTTTGAACCCTACCCGGGGTAATCCTTCTTGGATATCGATTTGGAAAATTCATCTTCGATCCTTCAGATTCTTATAGTAGTCTGTTTGGAAGTCTATTTGGATAAAAAAAAATTACTACCGCCATGGCGCCTAAGCGCAAAACTAAAGGGCAATCTCTTGACCCCCCTTCTAATGAAATTAATTTGAGCAATCAATTTGATTTGCTCACGGATGATGAGAATGATCCATCATCCAGGACAAATTTTAGTAAACTTTTCCAGCTTAATGCCAGGAATGAAAAGATTCCCCCTATTGTGACAACCACTTCTGATTTCCATGCTCTTCACACGGAACTTTTGAACTTCGTGAAAGTTAAGTTTTCACTGCAAATTGGCCGTCGAGGTGAATGCCGTGTATTGGCTAAAACCTTGGACGGATTTAAATGTCTTTTCAAGTATCTTACTGAGAAGCAGCATCATTTTTTTTACTTACGACACCAAAACTGAACGTGTGTTCAAGGTTGTCATGAAAGGACTGCCCAGTGGTGAATCCCTGGATCAGATCAAAGATGAACTGGCAAAATTACTTGGAGTTGTAATCAAGTAATCAAAATGGAAATGAAATCCCGTCCTGGCGATTCGCGCAACGGGATTTCTAATGATTTTTATTTAGTTCACTTCAAGTCTAGTGAACTAAACAACCTTAAGGCCTTAGAAAAGACTAGGAGACAGAGTAGGCTGTGCGTGCGTACGGACGTGACGTTTGTTTTCTTTGTCGTGTTTGAAAATTTAGAAACATTTATAATTTATAATATATGGACCTGGATTCGATTGCCCGGTTCTGGGTTGCCACCAACGCCGAGATTCAAGATGTTAGCAGCTCAATTCCTGGTGCAAATGACCAATCATCAGCTACGGAAGATCATTCATTCGGAACTCAGCGAGTGCACGAACATCGACGGTGTGCAGGACCTACAAGCTCTACGTCTCTGCAATATCCCCCAGCTCGTTCATGGAGCCAATGTCAAGCCACCAAACCCTCAAGTGCCAGAAGCTTACAGCTGACAAACGTCAAATGGAAATCGGGAATTTGGTTAACATTGGAGGCATTTGGTGAGATCCTTCCATAACACTATATTTTATATACCATTCATTACTGTTACATTCACTTTTATCCTAACTCGGAGCGTTTGGAACGGTATGTCCATGCATCCTTCCACCCCTTAAGATTCACGAAATGCATCGCTGTTTAAATATACCGTACTAGCACCATATTCGACACGTTCCTAATGATGACGCACTCGCATCTCGATTATGACAAGAATTTGTTATAACCTTGTTACACCATCGTCCCTAGAGCACTGAAACTTATATTTGCAGAAGTAACATTTCAATAATACTTATTGAAAATAGTCTAACATTATTGATTGCGTCGATTTAGGAACTGCTTCGAATATGGTACCTCCACGGTTTATTTAAACTCGAATCCTTTCACAAAATCATCTTTGCGGCAAATGCAACGCAGTAGGCCTGGCCGTTTTGATGTTTGTGTCATATTTCAGATATGCTGCAAACATCAATGTTGACAAGAAAAATGACCTACGATCCTACAATCTCTAAGTGACAGGTAGGAAACGTTCCACGTTTCCGACCAGGTATAAATTCCTCTGCTGTTAACAACGGTCAGCGAGGAACAAATATCACGAAATTGGAACGTATTCAATAGCGTTGTTTACGTACAGCCTTGGCTGTATGCATTCAATACACAATATGAGCCTAGAGGTTCTAGTGGGAGTAAAACCCTTGCAAAACCGTTTCTGGGAGCTCTCATTAAGAATATTGATCAAATGTAGTGTCAGTAACAACCTTGTGATTGAAAACTTCGACGAAATGCTTGAACGGAGCACCCGGTTTATAATTGTTTCCTTGATTGGTTTTCTCTCGATATTATTTTCCGTGCTGAGCAGCAATGCTACCGACACCAGGGAGGCAGCAGCTCCCACACCTGGACCCTACCTATCGACCCATCAACTCATGAACTGGGAACCAACGGCTTTACTTCGGCGCCGACTGGGATTAAGCACAGGCCTTCGAGGATGCGGTAAAGAAATAACAAATGCACAACAAATGCGTTATAAAATAAGTTCGCCGGTACAGTGTCACCAGCGACTGTGCAGATCAGTGATGCAAAATATCATGACACTCACGTGACACTCGTCTTCGCATCAACCGAATATCGCTTACAGATCGTTTTGTCACACAGTGAGAGTTAGAGCCATGGCAAACAACAATCACCAGTAATGGTCGCTGCTCACAAGCAAAACGTTACACTCACTGCTGATGATGAAAAGCACAACGAAAACAGTGAAGACTTCTGCAGTACGATCATGAGAAAAAGCGAAACGACAGAAGAAAATGAAAACAATGCCTACGCATTCCAAATTCGTCTCGACGAGCACGACTGTGTGAGTTACAAACAAAGCAGGCAACATTAAACGGAAGCTGTTGGGCACACTCACCAACACACTCACATTAGCAAGCAAAGCAGCAACTGCTTCAAAACGAGCACAGATGAGTGTCGTGATTGTCGGGAATGACCAGATCGGTGATGGATCACAACAGAAGACGACATTCACCAGTTGCTTTTTACTTCTTTCGTCAACTTGATGGATGGTCATGGAGAGAGCTTCGACGAGCACATTGATAGGAATGTACAAAGCGATACTACCATCAGCTGTTTGGCGATCGTGATTGTGATAGGTCGCAACTCTGGTGCAGATCATGATGGCAACGATCACAAGTAAAGTGCGACAGGTCGTTCGAAACGGTGAAATGTAATAACTTGTTACACACTTATCCAGTCAGTAATTTTTACCGAGTTTTTGAATTGCGGATCTGTTCGGTAAAATTTAAAAAATCTGTGAAAAATTCAAAGATGCGAAAATGTGTTACGAAAATTTATAGACTTACTTCTGTTAACCCCAATTAATGATGAAAAATAAAATTTGTCGATTTTATCGAATCTTTACGAATAACGGTCATTTGAATTACTGACTCCTGTAACAAAAATCTAAGTGTGTATATATCGTTTGAAAACTGAATAAAACCCCTTTTGTTTGACGGTTTGATCAACCGTGTATGTTGTTTAATTCTTGAGTTATGATCACTTGAATGCGTCCAAATTTACTTTGAATTTCCAGGCATACGACCGAGGCTCCACCATCAAGCGACTCTTGTGCCACATGTAAGCAATACAGTGAACATCTTCAGCTAGCCAAAGCATCCGGTGCGGAGTACCGTGAGGATGATTTGCAAAAGATATTTCTAATGAATAATCATAGGTGGTTGTGATTGTGAACTTACGTTAACCATTGTTTCCCCTTTAAACAGGACATTCAGCTGCCTCGTCTAGATGGATTGAAGAGAGTTGTGTTCTCACAAAGGCTAATAGCCTTTAATGAAACCTTCGCTCCTGTCGGGAAATACACGCAGACCATTCCTGTTCTTGCATGTGTGTGAAATGAAGCTGTAAGCGGCCGATCGTCTAACGGCCTAGCTGGGTGTTTTCATAGAATTATCACCAGATTTAGCGGTGTGGAGCCGCTTGCTTTGTGGCTGGACAACTGTGCGTCCCAAAACAAAAATTGGAATCTTTTCCTTCATATAAATTCCAAAAATGTTCAGATGAAGGAGTTGGTTCTAAAAATTTTAGAATCATGACACACTTTCATGGCAGCAGACAGCTTCCTCGTCGCAGTTGAAGGTGCAATGAGACGAAACCCACCGGTGACACACCCAGACTTTATATCTGTGGTTGAAGGCGCGAAAAAAAAGTTGAGGTATTGGACATGCTTCCACAGCATTTGTTCCCCAACGTTTTCACTCTCTCCCAGTACGTGCTAAACAAGCTGAGCCCTCCACCATACATCGAGAAAATAAGAAGTGTTGTCGTCAAGAAAGGCTGCTTTAATCTATGTTATAGCAGCTTTGTGAACGGTGATGATTTGAAAAGCTGTAAGATATTAACAGCCAAGCAGGAAAAAGTGGTTTCAGTGGGGCACTTCAATCTGGAGGAATATGTGATAAAGAGAAGTCAATCCAGAGGAATTGACCTGGACAGAAAAACTGCATTGCTGAAAAATATTTTGCTATTGGTAGAGGAAGGAAAAAACAGTTCTGGGAAGAGTTACCTAAAGCCAGTCTTCAAGGTGCAGCATAGCAGGCTTTTGCCCTTACCACTCTATGTTCACGCATGCACTCAGGTAAATGAACTTGCACCCCAGCATGAGTGCAATGTTTACGTTAGAACATCGCTTGCTTCAGCGTTTGAAAAACATCGTTCGTACTCAAGCGCTCGTGTGACTAGCAAACGCGATACATTCTCAGCGGCTGTTATTGTGAAGCTATCATGTACTATCAGCTATCAGCTGCCATAAGTAAATAAATTTGAACAAATCCCATAAATAATTCTCCTACTGGTTATTTGATGTTGTGTTTCACAATTATATGACTTTGGTAATTTGGTTCATTAAATAATTCAATAAATAGTTTTCTACTAAACCTTGACAAAATATGTGGACGAACTTTGACGTTTAGTATAGAGGACGTTTCAAATATGTCGTGCACAATATTTGCAAGTTGTTAACCCCCCTCTTATGTCACGCATCTTTCCATACTTATCATGTAAGACCCCTCCCCACTTTTTGTTCCCTCTGCATATCTTTTTACTCCATTACTATTGAGAAATGATGAAGCATTCGGTTTTGATACAGTCATTTTTTTTTTCAAAGCAAAAAACCGAAGTTAGAGCTCCCTCTAAATACACGCCCGTTTATCAGTCAAAATCGGATACCTAAGTAACAAAATCAAAAAATGAAACCGATATTGAGCGTGCATCAGTACCCTAGTATGAACTAGAAGTGGGCAAAACAGCTCATCTGGCTGAGCGGATCAGACCCGTCCAGCTCACTAAGGCGAGCCGATTATTTTGAACAGCTCATCAGCTCACATTGACATTATAGAAATTTTGACACAAATTCAAGATTGGAAATAAGAAATAAGTGGTTTTGTTGAACCATAACCAATAGAGCTATACTGCCACTATTCGCATAACAATCCCATGTCCTATGGATTTCCTATCTACATAGGACTGTTATGCAAATAGCGGGAGTATAGAGGCTTAAAACTACATAAAATCTTAAAAGTAGTCTAAACCAATATATCCGTAGCTTACAACATGGCTCAACTTTTCTATTGAAAACGCCACCTACACAAAAACTGAACGCGTAAAGCTAAATGCGCGCAAATGTTCCAACAACATATTAGTAATCACATGCGATGATATCTATATGATTGACATCGCTTTTTCTCATGCTATTGAATCCAGTCTACATACAGATGTGATTGCTGATGTTAAATTTTCCAGCAGAATTGCTCTCACTGTTCTTGGCTTGAGCTCGGTCGATGATTCGGAGCCGAAGCTGAGTTGTGAGGTTGAATATCAAGCCGATTTGTCGCGAAACACCAACTAAATCAATAATGTTTCGATTATTAGAAATCATTCGATTGGAATTAGAAAGCTTCACAATATTTGCGTTTGGGTGGATCTTCCGCTCCCGATGAGAATGATGGGAGGAGAGTTGCGAGCACATATGCTGGAAGAATAACATCAGCAATAAGAGCCGGGTAAGTAAATACTTTGAAAATACCAGTAGAAATTTAACATCATGTAACACAACTACATATGTCTCTCTCTACCATACAGCCGCTTGGAAGTTTGCTTTTACCGTTGATGCTATCGATCAGTAGGCACATGTTGTATTACGCGCGCATCTTAGTTTACGCGGTGGCTGTTCAATGCGTAAGTGTAGTAATAAGTCCTTTTTTGAAAAGCTCCGCTATGAATGATGGATTGAATGGTTTAGACTTATGATATCAGTGAGCTGATGAGCTGCGGTTCCTAAAAAATGAACCGCGGATCATTAGCTCACTTTAGTGAATCGGGTCTTTAGAACAGCTCGGGAGCGGATCGCCCATCTCTAGTCTGAACCACTTAACCAACTTCACACATAAGCAACGTGCACTGAAGAAATTGAAACTCAAGCTCAACACCGTCTATGTTTTGTGAAGACTGCCTAAAGCCCATGGAAAACAGGACGGCCAATTTTTTTTCATCGCTTTAATATGCCATTATTATTTTTCCTTTGTTTTCATTCAATATTATACATTAAACAGCACGAAAATAAGAATCCATACTAAAAATACTTGCACACTTAGTTGTTTCTACCGAGCTCGGCTGTGCAAATCTCGGCAAAAAAGTTTTACTGAGATTTCAGCAAACATTTCATTTGTTTGCTGAGATTCAGCTAAGCATTATCCGAGACCAGCGAATCCAAACACATAAAGCAACAAAAGATACAGACAAAACGGTTGCTACGACTACCATGAAAAACTCGCTCTGTAACATAGCTCGATCCGAGTGGTAGAAGGATAATGATATATTGCTTGCCTGCTTTGTTGCAATATACACGGATGAGGACATAGCTTGATATGAATCGAGAAAAGGCATAACAAAAAAAAAATCCCATTAACACACGTGTATCATGTTCGGCTTTCCTTCGTGAAGCAGCTTGCCAACAATTTGCTCGTTTCCTTCTACCGCCCCGAGTGAGTTGTGTCGCACGGGCTGCTTGTCATGAAAAAAAATATTGCTTTGCACTTCTGACACAGCGTTATTATTCGGTTCGTTGATCGCTTGTCATTTTGTCATTTGGAGATATTTTTGATTCCTTGTCCGAGACTCAACAATCAAATGTCACTTTTGCTGAGATCTCAGTGAAACTTATTTTTTCTGAGATTTGCGCAGCCGAGCTCGGTAGAAAAAACTTTGTGTGTGCTAAATGCCTTTGGTTTTTGTTATGTTTATACATTAGTCATGCGATTACTCTTAAGATGCACACTTAGTGTTTTCTACCGAGCTCGGCTGTGCAAATCTCGGCAAAATAATTTGCACTGAGATCTCAGCAAAAGTGACATTTGATTGCTGAATCTCGGATAATGCTTAGCTGAACCTCAACAAACAAATGAAATGTTTGCTGAGATCTCAGTAAAACTTTTTTTGCCGAGATGTACACAGCCGAGCTCGGTAGAAAAAACTAAGTGTGTGGGACAAACAGACCTCATCTTTTTTCCTATTATTTCAGAACAAACAACTCGATTTTATACTATGTAGATGAAGAATAATAAAAATTAGGCCCATTAGTGCACGTATCTCAAAATCGTCGAAAAGTCATATGGGACTGATATGCGATTCTAGGCAGTAATACTTCAGGCGTAACATTTGATAACGGCACAAAAGCTTTTGTAAACAAACGTTTTAAGGCACTTAACACGCGAACCGAAGTACGCTCACGCAAACCAACAACATCATCGGATAGGGGCAACTCTCACCTTCCCTAAAGTGGTATTGGTTTGCGTAGGCGTACTTTGGTTCGCGTGTAAAGGGCCTTAGAAAGTTTGTTTACAAATGATTTTGTGTCGTTATCAAATGTTACGCCTGACTTCTTCTATCCTACTCAACTTGGTTCGCTTTGACGATTTAACAGCTAAAAAAATATTCGATTTTGTGGCCAGTTTCCGCATCACCCTGAGCCCTCTAGTAAAAGTTTGTACATCTGTCAAAAACTGTTCCAATCAAATTGTCAAAATGCATTTTTTTTCAATTAAAGTAGCATTTCAGGCATAACACGAGGGGGGCGACACATCTAAATCTTAATTCTAGATGCTCAAAAAATCTCACACTAGCTAATCAATCTTCGAAAAATCTTCAATCATTTCTCGCATCTACTTGCATCGCATATCATCTTTTTGCAAGGAAATATTCAGAATCGTCATTAATCTGCATTCTATCTACTTAGCGTGCGCGCAGCTAGCCACGGCAAAACACAATCTTTCCTGCATCGTAGATAGAGTCGTCCCCCTCGGCATAACATTTGATAACGGCACAAAAGTATTTGTAAACAAATTTTCTAATGCCCTTTACACGTGAACCAAAGTACGCCTACGCAAAACAATACCACTTTAGGGAAGGTGAGAGTTGCCCCTATCCGATGATGTTGTTGGTTTGCGTGGGCGTACTTTGGTTCGCGTGTTGAGGGCCTTAGAAAGTTTGTTTACAAATGCTTTTGTGCCGTTATCAAATGTTATGCCTGATTTTTTCAGTTTTCTGGTGAGCGTCGTCCATACTTTTACTAGAGGGTTTCACATCATCCATGTCATGACGAAAGGGTGATGATCAAATCAAGGTAAAACCCTCGTATTTACTAGTGACCCTGTTTCTGCGAGAATTGCTTCTAAGAAGATATATGATGATTTGACATTGCTTACGTTGCTAACTTTACTTAGAGCAATGTGTGTCCTTACCTGATATTCTCTTAAACCGCACACCGTTGAGCGATAGCCGTGGCAGCTTGCAGACCTCGATTTCCCATTGCACCAGCGAGTCCGTGTTCGGGTCACCGTGCACGCACAGCAAAACAAACCTACAATCGATTGAGAACGGTTATAGCATCTTGATCCCTGCTCATTTATGTGCTAGGTAACCCTTACCTCTCCCGCTGCTCGTAATCACAGTTGTTCTTGTCCAGCACGGACCGAATCTCGGCCATGATTTCGTCCGGCAACCGAGGCGATGTCGTCTTCATCGACCAGGTGAAGCGTAGCACCCGTGGCTTTACCGGTTCCTCTCCAGTCGAGCCACTACTTAATGGGATTATTGGAGAATATCGTTGGATTTTTTTTTTGATTCGTCAGCATTTCGTCGGTTCATATTTGGTGTTCGGTTTCATTTGTTTCAGGGCGAAATAAATGAGGTGCATACAAATGGTTTCGGTAGCATAAACGCAGGAGCGCACGGAAAGCAATCGTGTTTGGAATTCAAGGTTTCATATGTTTTTTTTTCGGGGTTTTGTTTCGGAGGAGCGAGCGAAAATGAGAGAGAAAAAAGAAGAAAAACGATTTTTTTGCGATTAGCATTCAACGGGTTCCTAGGGCTGATACAGGGTGATCTTTTCTTGTTTTCTATGTGTATGTTGCGTAGCTGTTCTGGTGTTGGTGGTGTCTATTGTTTACCGATTTCTATCTCCGGAAACTTAAAACAAGTGTAACTATTCAATAGAGGGAGTTAGCTTACCTATTGATGTTTAAAAATAAATTGTGTAAAACAAACTAAATAATCAGTAGGCCTTGGAACGCTGGTGGCGCCGCCTACGGCATTGCATTTTCGAATGAATAAATGTGTGTTTGTGTGTTTTCATTATTCCTTTACTTAATGGTTGCATTGATGGAAAAACAAGCACATATACTTTCACACGCTACATGCAACATAACCACAATCGACTAATCGAGGATGCTTGAACCGGGAAGGATTACAAATGCGAATATAGTAGTGCATCAGCGTACACACATACAAAGAGAAAAAAATATGTTTCAACAAAGCTAACTGACATGAATAAACAAAGTATTTACATTGAAACATTAACAAACAGTAAACATTTAACAACAAAGGATAATATAAAACGTCAAACAGTTGATTGGAGTTCATGTAAATAACTTCCACTGTTGGATGCCTAGATGACGCGATAATCGCTAAGGAGCGAAAGCTTTTAATTTCTATTGTTTATTGGTATTGCTTGCAGATAACTCCCTCTACGAGTGATGTATTTCTATACTTGGGCTATGTTTTCACTTCTAACAACCATTTTATTTGCTCTATCAGGTACGTATGTAATGTATGTTGGTAGTGTATGTGTGTGCGGGTGTTTGGATAATACGAAATTAAAATACTAGATTCAAGCAAGTAATATTTCTACAACAAAAGATATTTCGAAGCACTATGTGGAGGGTGTATTGTGTGTGTGTGTACATATTTTTGGTTCTGTTTTCGATCAATCATATATTTACCTATTTGATGAAGTATTTGCTTGGCCTTCGTTGGGCCTAAAACGAACGGAAAAATAAAAGAGAAAAACGCAAATATCGGTTAACAACGAAACGAAAACGACGGAACGAACGGAAGAAAGTTAGAAGAAAGAACGAGACAGGCAGAGAAAGAGAGATAGAGAGAGAGAGAAAGAGAGGGGGATAGAAAAAGGCGATAAATTATTTTTTTTCTGGTACAATGATATAGAGGTGCAACGAGGTTAAAAATCAAAACGGTGTTAGTTTGGAATTCTAATAGAGATGGAAATAAGGGGTGGAGAGAGACAGAAAAAGAGATGGTGGGAAAGCTTTGATTCGGTTAAATTTGGTTGCAATTTTGGCTCGGCGATGGTAACACGATTTGACGCGAGATTCGGCTGGGACTATCGTTTTAGTACAGGTTTGGTTCCCCGCCAAATAACCGCATCCCAGCAGTTTAACACTACAAAACACACTCGATCGCTACGATCCCGGATGTGGTTAAACGTTTTAGTATACATTGATAAAGCAGAGTTATTTACATGAACCATCGATCGGCAAACATTTCTACTAGCGAATGACGGAGGAAAGCTTTTGGAATTTGATTTTTTTTCTTGTTTTACTAAATGATTGTATGTGTGTGATTGTGCCATTACAGTAAAAACTTAAGTTGGTGCAGACAAAGCCAGAAACTAAAACGCAAAACAACACTATAATGATTTGTGCAAGCATTCGCCCTGATAAAGATGGTTTTCTGTTTCGAAACGTCAGTTGAGGGTTGCAAAAGTGCCCGCCTGGCGGTGCTGCGCTCGGTGTATCAAAGGGTATCATCATACATGAACCGTATCACAAAAAAATCGATGTTTGGCGTTTGTACTGTTTACAGTGAAATTACAGCATTGTGTTTTATTGATCTTAAAATTACACAGTATGTATTGGTTAGATCGAATGTTGTTTTTTTCTTTTCTTGTTGTTGTTACAAACAATTGATTCGTAGGGCCTAGCTACTACAGACAGAGGACCGAAAAGCATTCTCAGGTGTTGCGCGGTAGAAATCGATCGCTTCGAGCTGTGCCTTTTTTTTTCAGCGCTGCGCCTATTTACTCACACTAAAAAAGACCGTAGGCTCCGTGTGTTGGAAAGCAAACGTAAGAAACTAGTGATTAGCTAAAATCAGTAGCTTAGATTGCGTGTTTGTGTGTCCTTCTTCCGCTTGCAGCGCTGCAGTGTCGGAGTGATGAGTTATCGCTATATACTAAGATTTCGTGATTTTTTTTTCTGCTAAAATTCTACAACTTTGCGTTTGATTAAAAGTATTGATGAGTAATAATTTATTTCATAAATGATAAGAATTTTGCTAAAAGTTTACAAAACTTGATTGAAACTATACTAAGAAACTGAAGAAGAAAAAAAAATACTATATCTTGATAGTCGCCTACAGTAGTGCTAACTTTCTGTTCTGTTCACTTAACTATAAATGGATACTAAGTGTTATTGATTGGTCAAATGATAAACAGGTCTCTATCCTTAACGCAACAATGCTTTCTCGATCTTCCGGAAACGTTTCCATCTAAACTTTCATTTTTTACTTCATCCATATATGTATATATTCTAACATTCAACAATTTTGATTCGCTATCACACTCGCGCGTCTATTTCGCCACCTGTCTCACGATTGTTTTTAATTTTGAAACTAAAAAAAGAGAAAAGAGAAAGAAAACGAAGAAAAATACAAATAAAAGTCAATCGGGGAAAATGGAGGGGGCCGAAGAGTAGACAATTGAATCGAATCAAGACAGAAAGGAAGAGATTGAACAATCTGAAGAATAAGAGAAGTAAGAACAAAACAAAATTAAATTTTGTTAATTACTCGGCAGGTGTCGTCGGGTGACGAATGATGGGAATGAAATACATTTTACAAAAGGAAATCCGGGAGTTTTTTTTTGTTCTACCCTCACGACAGGACTAGACTCTACTGGAAATTGGTTTGAAGGCCCTCGCGAAGATTCCCGCAGGAATTCGAAACGTTTAGCTCACTCAAGGTGACTCATTTCTGTTTACAACTGATGGAGGGAACGAAACAAGACAGGATAGTTTCAGTGCGTGCCAATACTATCACCTTGAGGTCGGTGTAAATGCTTCTTCACCTGATCTTCCGTTCACATATTTATAGCCTAATAATACACAACTTTTAAGTACATGGTTGCATCCTCTCACATTTCGACCAAGAATATTTCAGCTCAAATGACTTGTGCTTCTCTATTCAAATAGAAAAATAGACACTTAACAATTGCATTTGTTCCTATCTAAATTTTGACGACGTTAGAAAGTAGACCAATATATGCACGTATGTATGTATGTATGTATGTATTTGTGTTTATATCCAATCCGTTGTCTTTTTGCTTTTGCTACATCAGTCCATTAGATAATAGTACAAAAAAGTAAGCAATGAGGAACGACCAAGTCTTAAAAAATAATCTCCATTGATTCCGTTTGCGTCGTTTGCAATGTGTGTTTGTGGCATTGCAGCAGTTGCTATTGATCGACTGGAAAACTTAATTCATACATTTTTTTTTGTTTTTCAAGCGATCTGTTCACTTTCGCTTTCACGTTTTGGGGATATGAAAATCGTCTGTGGTTTCTACATTAACTACTATTTATTAGTCTCATGATTCAGCCTAGAAAAGTGGGGAAGAAAGAAAAGAGAAAATTTTGCTTTTAGAATTTACAAAAAAATATGACGTGTTGTTCGGCATAATCTTACAATCTTACGGGTAAGAGAGATAAAAAATAGGAGAAAAAGAGTAGAAAAACTTTTGGCTTGGCTTTTGGCGGGTTAGCGCTACAATGCTTCCAAACATAGGCGTTGCGCTCTATTTTTGATGAAACGTGAGTAAATTTTGACTTGTTTTGTTTCAAGAATGGCCGAAATATTTTACAATCTGGTCAAGAGTGAGAGGATGCACAATGTTTTTCGCTGAATCTTGGGTTTCTTTTCAATTCATTTGTTTTTCAATGTTGTTTTACCTGTCTTGTTTTTTTTTATCGTACATAGAATGGCTGTGATCGATTTGATGTGGGAAGGTTCCATTTTGCTATTTTATACAATTAACAACGACTGATGCGACACAAAATGCCTCCAATTGTGGAGTTTGGAAGCCAAACAGGACAAATGGATACGATTTTCAGAAATACTGAGCCTGGATTTTCGCGAGCCGTTTGAATGTGTTGGAGAATGTATTCGATCCTGACTCCTATTGTCTTGAAAGCCTACAAATTTTTTAAATGAACTTGCATTCATTAAGGGAAAGCTTTAAGATGTCTAATGCTTATGGGATTTTTCGGTGGTGTGTCCGAATAAGAAACAATCCGCCATGTTTCATACTGACTGACTAACTTGTAGGACTAAAGAGTTACAGAAGTTTCATATGGACGCGAATGTTGTTTCCTACCCCGTGATACCATTAATGGAAAAATTATCAAAAATCTCATTTTTCGATTCCCGGGAAATAGCTATTTGTTTACAAAAGGCATGCTGAATATAAATTAATACTAAAAATAAGCTACGAGGCAACGGAAAAGGACCTATACCTATAATTTCCAGTAGAAGTTGGAGGAAACTCCCGGGGGAAGTCTGTACTCATGGGAGTTGAAAGAGACTTAGGGGCTGTAAAAAAAACACACTAACAACTTAAAGAGGGCGACGGTTGGAGAGTGTCTACGGTCCATAAAAATTTACAAAAAATTTTATGGAATGGTCAAAAACCTCTAAAAAATGGTCTACGTAGGTTATGAACAGCCCCTTATGGGAAAGCAACTTTCGGTGAACGTTGACAGAAACTCTCAGGAAATTTAGGAACACATTTTCGGGAATAGTTCGGAAGAATCCGGAAACCAGAAATAATTTTGAGGGATGTTTGATTTTTTTCTGGTGAACTTGGCAGAATTTTCCGAGGGAAGTAGGAAAAAAAAATCAGACAGAATCAGACGAAAGCATTTTTCGGGCAAAGTCAGGCGGAAATTCTGGGGGAAATTGAAATGAAATTTTCGGAAAAAAAAAGAAATATTGATGAAGCCAGGCGAAACTTTCGGAAGAAGTCGGAAGTCAGAAAAACTTTCGAGGGGAGCAGAGAAAACAATTACCTAAGAAGTCGAAGGCCCCCAAGCAACATTTCAAGTTTTATTGTGGTTTTAAACCATTTTACAAATCTAAATCATGATCTACAGACCCAGCAATTCACAAATCGTACAAGGATGTTCGTTTAAAATCGTATAAATATCCAAATCAAGTTGAAGTTGCATGAGATGCAATTCCAAATTGGTTGAAATTGTTTAAGTTGAAAAATTGTGATTCAACTATAATCCGGAGTGTTCACTCGGCTGTCGACAGAAGCAGACCACTCTCGATGTGTGTCTCGCGATCGTCTGTTTACTCGGCAGCAACCATTGTGTGGTCCTCCTCATTGTTCTTCATCAGCAGTTCTTTCAGTCGATGCGTCGTCGACTTTGGAAAGCAACCGGTTCGTGATGAGTGTGTGAGTGCTGACCAAGTTTTGCGTCCATTGCTACAATGGAAGCGCTCTGCCCACCGTTGGCTATACTGCCATACAGTAGAACCACTGGAAACGGCTCCCGTTCTGGTGGAGGAGGCTTATTGGACAGCGGAAGATAAAATGTTTATTGTGTTGTATCTTTTGACTATAGTTTTAAGATGTTTTGTAAACTGAACAAGATTCCTCGGCTCAGTAAAGTTAATTCAGTTGAGCCTTATCAAATAAATTGATAAACAAAAAACTATAATCCTCTTTGCGAGATTATATATGAGTTCGATTGATGTCAATAAGGAATTATTAAACGCGTTCTAATTTAAAAATGTTGATGATCATATATATGTGTACATAAGTTTCAGTCATTTCGTTAGTTGTCAAAACAAACGATTGGACAATAACAAAAAAAAAGTATCAGCCAAATGAATTCCTTTGTGATGAAAAATAAATTGACTGCAAAAGCACAACAAAAAAATGAAGGGTGCATACAGA